TGTATTTTTTTGGTTTAGGCGGGAAAAAAACTTATGTGAAACTGACATGTGTCCTAAACATTATTTGCTTTCATGAAATGTAAAGGGATGGAATATAATTTCGGATAAGAAAGCTAATAACGTTCTCTGTTGTTAAATAAATTAGTAAATGTCATATAACTGTTATGCTTTACATTAAATTAGGTAATGATTTTTGGGGAAAAAAAGCTCAAATAAACCACAAAATGACATGTAGGATGACTGACGTGGCTTCACAAGATTGCTTTAAAATGGCCAACTTTAACATATATATAGATTTTTGAACCCAGGGAGTATTCTTCAAAAATTTTTAGTTTCTTTTTTTTTTTTTTGAAACACCATTATATGGTAACCTAGGTTATTACATTTGTGAAGTCTACTGAGGGAAGAGGATACTACTGCTAGGGGAGAGACTCCACGCGTGCACGCCTCTATTATGCGTCCTCCTGGGCTGCAAGCTGACCTCCAGGACTGTCTCTGGCCTCCTGGCTGCAAACCAGCATAGGCAGCACTTAAAGTGCTCCTGACGGGGTTTGAACCTGAGACCTCTTGGGACCTTAGGTTTTTAATTTCATGCCCACTACCACTTGGGCAACCCCTCTTTGGCCAAAAATTTTTAGTTTCGACTTCCACAGAGTACATACAAACTATAATCTGCAATTCCAAACAATACTAATATAACTTCGTTTTTGTAATTAATAAGATATCAGTACTGGAGAGAGAAGAAAATTTGCCTTCTTTCAGTTACTCGGAAATGGGAAATTCTCGCAAAATTTCGAGTACTCTCAAGGAAAATTTGCCTTCTATTTCTCATACTATAATCACTAGTCAGTAATTTCAAAAAAGAAAATACTGCTATCGGCTGGTCTTTGGGAATTATTTCCGCGACTCTAAGGTTAAATAAGAAAATTATGATTGCTGTACTAGGTGAGTGTATAGGCTGATACATTTGAGAGGGAATTGCTATTGTGTGAGTGTATAGGCTGATACATTTGAGAGGAAATTGCTATTGTGCAAGGGAGAGAAACATACATGGAAACGCAAACGCAAAAAAAAATAACTATTAGTACTTTTTTGTTCCAAAGAAATACTCTATGTTGAGATTTTGAATTTTGTACAACAAATTTAATGTTGATAATTTTTAGGGAACATAAATAATACTCCCTCCAATCATTATTATAAATCATTTCGACTTTTCATAGGTTTCACCAAGCTAGTACACAGTTTTAATGGAAAAAAATTACCTTAAAAATAGATTTTCACATTCGTTGTATTGTCTTGATGATTATGAAATATTTTTAAGATTTTTTTTGTCAATTATAAATGTGTACTAGATTAGACCTAGGACAAATCAAAATGTCTTTTTTTTTTGCAAGAAAAAGGGATAAAAAGGCTTTCAGGTTCCAATTAACACAAAAAATACTACAAGGGGTCTACCCAAGAGCTATTTTTTGTATCAATCAGTGTTAAGTGATACTATGCACCCAAGGGATCTATTCAAGGGATAGACATAAATATCACCTAGTTCCCTAAATCAAAATGCCTTATATTAAGGACCGGGGAGTAATGTTTATCACTTATTAGTTGATTGCACAAAAACAAAATGCATACAACACTATAGATCAATTTCAAATGAATTGAATTTGTGGCCCTAAATTAAATAATGTTGAGTATCAAGTTACAAAATGAACATTAGATGGTATTGATACGAAGATCAAAACTCGTAATTACTATTTAAAAACATGTCAAAATGAATATAAGGTTTGTTTGAAGATTGTATGATTCTCTAAGTGTTTTAATTTCATGAATATTACACATGATGTATGAAGTTGGTGCTCATCAGTGGAATGTGTTAGTTTCTTAATCTAAACTTAAATCTTCTTCCTTTGCGCGAAAAAATTATTGTGTCAATGGATATACATAAAATATCCATAAACTAATTCTCTATCAATTAATAATTTCTATTTCATATTATTTTTCTCTAGTACCAACTCAGGAGTAGGATAAAAAATGAAAAAACTCAATTAATTTACAAGATAATATTTTTTGAGAATCTCATATGTAAACATAGATCCTCACCATTTCATAAATTATTAAATGCCTCAAAAAAATTTAGAATTGAAGATTAGCTCATATTTTAACTTGATTATTTATTTTATGTTTGTAATTATCATCTTTCTATTCTTTAGAAATATTATAATTTATAATAATATAAATATGGTTACAATTGACTTTTCTTATTGTAAAAATAATAAACTCGGGTTTTTTTTTTATTAATAGGGTTGAAAAGAAAAATTTTTAAGTTATTAAATTATTACTTAGTAAAATTTTGGGGCCAAATGTATTAATCTATAGAGGTATTACTAAACAAAAATCTATATGCGGTATGGAATATTGGAATTTAAGAGTCTTCGTAGGTAACCCCAAATTAAGTGAAATCAATTTTTTCTTTTTTTTTTTTGTATAAAATGAGTTTTCAAGTTCATGCATGATATTCAAACACTTTTTGATAAAATATATTTTTATATATTCAATAGTTAAAAACTGACCTCTTTTGTTGTCTTTTCTTTTTGCTTTCTTTCGACCGTATAAAGAGTACGAATCTCTATGTTCCAAAATAATTGTCCAATTTAGATTTTCACTTTTAGCGTTTAAATTAAAAATGAAAATCTATACCGAATAACAATTTTGTGATAGAGAGAATAATAAAATGATCATCCTACCGTGAACAAAATGACGGTCACAAAAAAAATAAAAAATAAAAATAAGGCAATTGAGTGCGGATTTGATTAGGGCAAAGATAAACCAAAAGCCTCCCTAAAACCCGAGTTTTAGAGTGCGGCTCATCCATCCATCGTTCATCTCTCTCTGTCTCTCTCAATTCAGATCATGGAAAAAAAGCAAAATCAAAATCAAAATCAGAATTATGATGTACCCGCAGTGATCGCCGCTAGTGCTCTTGCGTTCTTGTTCGGCTCCTTCTTCGGCAGTTTTATGTCCGTCGCCGGCTCCGAATTCTTCCTGCTTTAATTTTTTTTTTTTTTTTTTTTGGTTCGAGCTAATTAATCAAACTTCATTTTCTTTCCTTTTTGTTTCCTAATTCTTCTTCTTCCAGTGAGAAATGGTGCCACGACAAGTCCCGCAACTGCAATTGCGGCCGCCATACCGACGCCGTCGTCGCCCCGAACGAACCCGCCTCCGCTGCGGCCGCCGCCACCACCGCGATTTCCGCTACCGCCTACACCAACGCTGATACTGACGAAGCCTATGCATATGCCGCTACCAACAACCGCCAAGCCTACGCCTATGCCAAGGCGAATAACAGTGAAGCATACGCCGACGCCCACGACGGCGAATCCTACGTCTATGCTAGTGTCAATTACGGCAGCAACGACGTAGAATCCGGTGCCTATGCCCACGGCATCTCCGGCAACGCCATGGTGGCAACCACAACCGCAGTAGCGGTAGCGCCAATGGAATCAAGTTGAGGTCTTTTTATCTTCGTAATTTATATGCTGACTCAAAATGATTGTTGAGTTTTGAATTTTAAACTTTTATAATATTAATTTAAGAACATAAATTGGATAATAATTTTGGGATGGAAGGAGTTCTAGATTCACATCTTGTATTTTTGTTTGCAAACACTCTATTACGTACTGTTTGATAAATATAAAATTGGACTCGCCGACTCGATGTGGCAGTTTTAAAGGTTATACTCTTTTAAAGGTTATACTCTTATCTGGATATGAATGTTCAATTTGCAATTTTATTTTTAAAATAGAGAGTATTGTAGTACAGTATTATATTATTATTACACATTGCTCTTTAACACAAAAATTTCATTGAGTACGGGCGAAAATACCAATCGGGCTACTAGCAGTGCTTAGCTCTGCATATTATATGGAAGATCAAAGGGGACATTTGGATTTGTTTAAGAGAAACATCATAGTTTTCGTTCCTTCTCTCGAAATGGATGGGGTTCATCTCAAATTATGGACCTTTCAAATCTCAAAACATAAACTATGATGTTTATGGGACGGAGGGAGTATAACCAATCTCCACAATTTAATCACGAATTGATATGCAGCTGGATTTCTTATAAGCACAGCCCATCCAATCATCGTGGAATTCAAATCCGTCGCTAGAATATCGGAAACTTGTAAGACTTTCTAGCTTCAAAGAAATCTAGCTTGTTATTCTTTCCAAGTGATACAAGGATCACATTGGCCTCCTTCCAAAGAGTGTTTAAATGGAAATACACAACTTAATCATCATGAAACGGAGGGAGAGTAAAAGTTCTATGGATTATATTTTGAGTCTCATTATGGTCTTGCATGTTAATCAAACATGTTGTATTGTGTAAACCCATCAATTATTGGAAAAAGTTGACTAAAGGACAGTAGAACAGTCTTGCATCAAAGAAGAGAAAAAGATGTTGATCAAGTTAATTAAAAATGTGTAATGCATAAGGAAACCTGCCAATTTTTTATTCTTAATATTTTAACGCGAAAAAAAACACGTTGCACAATGTATTTTGTATGCTGATTAGCTTTGATTTTATTAAATTGAAAAGTTAAGGAACTATATGAATCATTCTCAAATGAGATTTCCATGTAGAAATATTCATGAACCTCATCAAATTTGGAGATTCTTTTAAATTGAAACTATAGGGGCTTTAAAAGCGATGCATGAACGACCAAAATGTGAGCAATAATGAAGCAAAAAAAAAAAAAAAAACTTGAATAATGAGAGATGAAAAGAAAAAGACAATGAAAAATTGACAAGCAAATAAAGAAATTCCAACAGCAATATTCTCAAATTTTAAAAATCAATTATATCATAATAATCTCCTAAATACTAAAAATTATCAAACAAATGAACATCATCTACCAACAAGAAAAAAAAAAACTGAATCCAACTAATAATAATAAGCAAAAATGCAAGCAATCACTAATCAGTACTTCTATTACTAATAATGCTACCTAGAGTTTGAGAGTCAAGTCAACTAGCTGATGATTTTCTTTTGTTTCTTTCTTTGCCGAAGAATATGTGACCACACCGCCACCAATGCCGCCGTGATCAGTCGCCGAAGAAATCTTCGGATGAATTCTATCAAACCTTGCATCCCAACCATTGGTGGATGGCGACCCTAAACCCGAACCCATATGATTATTTTCCGGAGCAAGCCGCCCAACCGCCGGTTGTTGATCAAGAGACTTTCTAGAAGCCCACCCGTTGTTCTGCCCGTACAAAGACGGCAAACCAGCAACGTTGGATCCAAAGTAGGATGAAGACGGCTTATGAATCATTGAATGTGCCTGAATCCCCAAAGACCGGTTGTAGGCCCCATGCAAAGGCAAGGAAGCCATGTTAGAGTACCGGTGGACAAACAGATCGTGCCTGAATAGCCCACCTGCCGATGTTGGGCCAGATCCGATCCGGTTCCCCCTCTTGGCTATGTTCCTCTCCCGTTTATGAGCGTTTTGATGGCCTCCAAGAGCTTGGGAACTCAAGAATTTGCGCTGGCAATAGTTGCAAGAGAAAACCCGAGGCTCCGATTCTTGTTGGGTATTGTTATTGTTGTTTGCAGTACTAGAAATAAAAGGGTTCTTGGATGATCGTGGTGGTGGTGGTGGGGTGGTAATAATAGTACTAGTAGCACTTGTGTTACTGCTAAAGTTATTGTTGTTGTTGTTGTTCAATTGAAGACAATCTAAAAGATTGAGATCAGATTTCAAACCTTGATGATGATTAATGTTCTTGGAGTCTTTACTTGAAAGGCTTAAATCCAAAGCAAGTTCATCTTGATTAGTGTTTTGTATTTCTTCTTCTGACTTGTTGTGATCCATGGTGGAGTTGCTGAACTTTGTCGGAGAAATCATCATGATGGTGAAGTTGTTGATAGGCCTTTCCTTCTTCGTCGTCTTCTCTTCTTCTTCTTGTTGTTTTCGATGTGGTTGTTTTTGCCTTCATGTGGATTGAAGAAGAAAGATATATGAGTTATTTAGGGAAGGAGATAAATACTAAGAAAGATTATTGATTGAGATGAATTTAATGCTAATGGGAAGCTAATTTTAGTAGGAAATATGTAGTTACAAAGTGATCATATTATGGAAAGATTATTGATTGTGTGTGTGCGCGTGTTTATTATGTGTGTCAGCAAGCCCAGTTTATTTTTGGTTTGAAATTGGAATTTAAACTCAACGAATGAGTTAACACCATGTATTTCAAATTTTACAGTGTCATATCCATCGTTTATAGTATACATTAAATTTAAATACTTTTCTTCTTTTTCTTTATTCCTCCTTAATTGTTTCTTCCCTTTTTAAGTCCTAACCCATTTTTGGTTAACCTTCGGCTGTTTCATGGAAACAAGGCCTAAAATGCGGTTCATCTACTTAATATACCACAAATAATTGACCTATTTTTTCTCCTTTCTTTTTTCGTTGTATACGGAGGAGTTTTTTTTTTCTATAATAACTTTAGGGAAGTGATATATTGAGAACATTTTTCTTATATTGAGAGCAAAATTTTACATCAGTTATCTGAACTACCCTCATATATAATTTAAGAGAGTCACTTTACTTCTTTTTTCTTTCTCCCTTCTCCTCAATTACCGGCCTTCAGCCATTTTAGGCCAAAAATCAAATTAATTGATTGTAATCAAAAGTCTATTCTGCTTGATTTCTTTAGTGAAACATGTTCAAAACTCTTAACTTTTCAAGAATATCCACTACAGATGATGGTTTCATTGTATTTCCGCAGGCAAAATCCACAAGAAAGTTAGAAAGCTGCTCCTTTCTAGTTTCCAACGATTTTTTGAAAAAGTTTTAACCGTCAACCTCTGAATTATGAAATCTTCTAATAATTTAACTCAATTACCAGTAAAGGAAATTTCAAATCCCAAATTAATGTTACCGCCAAACTTATTCAGATTCAACAAAAGATTTTGACTGAAAAACTAAATTTTATCTGCCACTCCAATCTTTCGGCTTTTTAATATTGAAATTTGAAAAAAAAAAAAAAACAATTAAAGAAAAAGGAACAGGCGAGAAAAAAAAAAGGTGAAAATTAAGGAAAAATAAATGTGGAAACTTGTTGAAATCCTATATAAGGCTAACATGGGTAATTAATAAAATTTTGCTCTCAATATAACAAAATTGCTCTCAATCTATCAATTCCCATAACTTTATCGCTTAAAATATGTCCTTAAATAACCTAAATTGAAAGTTAGTTCCTCACCTAAGAATTCCTTATTGAGGACCAATAGGATCTCAAATATGTGTGGTTCTATACATTAGGCTTAAGACTAAATATGTTGTGAAAAAAGATTGCGTACATTATATGATTACTACCATCCAAAGTTTTACTAATATATGACTTGGAAACAATAACTTTCATTTCATTTATCCCTTATCCTTCCTCTCGTTGGAATGTAGTTTTTATGAACGTACCAAAAGCATTTGTATATGACCTCTTTGAAATATACAATTTAAATTATTGTCAGAACAATAAAAATAAACGGCATGACAGATATCATAAGTCCCGATCGTTTTTAATCACTTTACATTGTTTATATAGAAGGATCGATAATCTTATGACTATAACACTCTATATAACTCGGCCTCTCTCCTTTCCCAAATGATTGTTTTTTGAGTTTTTTTTTTTATAAAAAAAATACGTTCTATGAGATAATTAACTAGTACAATATAGTATATACCTGGAGATTCCTTTACACATTTGTGAACATATTATTATTCCAAACTAACTATACTTTCTTGAACCCATTACCTAAATTCAACTGATGTGTTTCAGAAGGATCTAATGTATATTTTATACACAAACAGTTGTCAAGATGTATGCTAAGGAGTGAGTAATTAATCAGAGATGGAAAACCTTAAATAATCAGCGTCAATTACGCAAAAGATTAGACAATTTTATTCCTATATATACTGTACATATAAAACCTTATACAGTGCGTGTATATCTTTTTTTTTTTTCAAGGAAAACATACTCTATTAAGAGTACTGGAAATGGTCTAGCACTATTTGATACAAGAACATACCGTCCAAAATGACGTACTCGAACCATCCTATTGAGGTACTTACGGTACTAGTCACTGCTCCAGTGACTAGACCAAAATAACTGCCAAAAAAATTAACAATCCTATAATGGCATAATTCTATTATTGGACATATCACGGAACATAATAAAATTCTGAACTTGAATATATCACTAATCCGCAGACTGAAGCACAAATGTATCGTCATTAACGATGAATAATACACATCAAATTCGGACTCGACGAACGGACTTGGTTCCACTGACGCACTAAATTTACTCAGTAAAGAAATAATTCGAGATCTATACTGAGAGTGGGCTATCCCACTTGATTGAATTAAAACACAACAACAATAAAAAATAACCAGAATAATTTTCAGCCTGACCAAATTAACGAAAATAACTCCAAACCGGTCAACGGATCGGTAAACCAGCTCGGGGGAGTTGAACCGGAAAAACCAGATCTGGCCGGACGGACCAGATCTAGGGATCAGCGGCGGCAACAGCATCAAGCAACCGAATACAAGAGCAGGAGAAGATGGCAACAGAGGGACCAACATCAACAGTGCGTGTATATCTCATCATGATTCACCTGGTTAAACTTTCAAATCTTTGTACGTACCTTAATTAAACAGTCATTACTTTACTGGTATAAAATTAATTGTTTGACTAATTTTGAATAATTTTGTGGTGTTAATTCATTATATGTTCATCGCCACTTCCATAACTAACACATAAAGTTTTTCCCTTCAATACAGCCAAAAATACCTCTAGATTTAATTCATTCAATTTGGACGAATTATTACATAGACTTGTACCAAAAGTTTGAAATCCGCCATGTCATGGCAATGTCGGTCATAATTAATGAATTTTATTATATTTATTTGTTTTAGTTTTGAAAGTAGAAATTCTCTCCAAAAAAATTGAAAGAAAAACCTTGATTTTGTTTGAGAATATCATCTTATTTCCCGTTTCAGTTTTTGAGACCAGTTATGCGAACTATGAAAAATCTACGGTAATAAACAAACAAAGTTCAACTAGCTCTTGAACATGGACGAAAGTCGATGAATTACTTGATCTTTTGTGCTTTTATAGCATAACATAGCAAAAAAATGAGCCATTGAAATTATCATATAATATAATGAAGCTTCCTCAAACAATGAACAATGAATCCATGCAAATTAATCTACATACCTGAAAGGAGAAATATCGTGTGATTTTAATTGGTTTTTGCCGTAAATACTTAAGATTAGGGGTGAGATAAACATTTAAGTATGCATACCAAGAATGAAATTAAAAGAAAGAAAGAAAGTAAAGAAGAAAATAAAACACACATGCATGCACCCCGAACAAATTTCGTTTGCCTCTTGGATTGTAAACACGTCTTCTCTTCTAATTCTTTGCAGAGAGTATGTTATTTCTGATAAGGAATATGTGGATGACAAATCAAGAAAGGAATCTCAGAATATTCATACACAGTCAGCCGAGGACATGGAAAATATTCTTGCAAAGGAAACATGATACATCCGTGGAATATGTTGAGCTCATCATTGAATTCTCTCTCAATTCAAAGTTCAAACATTACACTGATTCGTGCCTGAAGTTATGGCCGCAGATTAACCAATTAATTAATCAATTAATTAGCTGATTGATGGATTATAGAGTTTTAAATCTGTAAATCTCACTAACCCAAAAAGTTTGTTTGACTGTTCATGAAGTTGCAAAAGGATATGGATGATCATTACGAAATATTACGAAATATGACAAATATGTTTAAGATTTTTTTATCAAATAAAAATACGTACTAGGTTAAACCTAGGACAAATCAAAATGGCTTATATGAAGGACTGGAGAGAGTACATGATAGTGATATATGACAAACAAAGTGACTGATTTAGTCTACTGACAGCAAGCTCTTAGTAGAGTCGGTATCAAGGAGATCAAAATTCCCTTACCACCTTAAAAGTATAGGGGAGGATAGTGTTAGTGTGTACTTGTTCGGTCTTATTCCAAACAGTAATTGTATTAAAATTCGAGAATGGCGAAAATGACACTAGTGTCGGCTTGTAGTTTGTAATTCTTTCTCTGCGTATGCTCATAAACTGATGTTTCCAAAAAGAAAAGAGGCTAAACAAGTTTTTGTTTAGGGACAATCTCAGAATCAAGATGATCTACAATAAAGCTATAAGGTACTTATTTTATTTTTAAATATTTTGGGTTGCTAGTTAAAGGGTTAACACCAGGCTATCATATGATATAGAAAGAGTAGCAAATTGTTGTTTCCTACGATGAAGTTATAGTTTAAAAATTTTTGCTTGGGAAAATCCAAATTAAGAGGGGGAAAAAAGGTTAGAAGGGGAAAAAAGGAGAGAAAAAGTGTGCACTACTAGATGGCTAATTCGAAAACGAACATTGTTATGATACACTTTAGGAACTCCGATTCTTATTGGTATAAATAAAAGATGATGATTGCGGAAGTCATCTTGAGAATCGACTACAATATTGTAAAGAACAAACCTAAGAACTATTAAGTAGATTGTGTATATAATAAAAATCACAATAATAGAAGTGAAATGCATAATAGATTTTCAAATCTTTACATATTTCGACCAATCCATTTTTTTCAAACAACAAAAGAGAACTGGATAGTGGATACGACAAGAAACTTTGCTACATAGTTAGAATTACGGTAGACATTTTTATGATTTTTTTTTCTGGCGTGCAAAGTTTTAACGTGTTTTTATAAATTGTCAACATCAATCTAGTATGTTTTGCTCCTTTCTACGCGATCATTTTGCATTCACGGGCTACTTTAGAAGTTGGAATAATATACTCCTTCCGCCCTAAAATTATTATCTAATTTGAATTTTTATGTTTAATATAATTTAAAAATTCTTATCCATTGCAAATGAAGCTGGAAGAGTCGTTATTGACAATTCCTTCAGCTTTGTGCTGTAATGGATTAGATCAAAATGACTAATTTAAATTCCGACGCTTTTTAATTTGATGAAGTTGTCGAAAATCAACATATTAATGCACCAATGCATCTTGAGTCGTATTACTTAAACAGCCTCTCTGTATGGAAAATACAGAGGTAAGACAGCGTACATCTTGACTCTCTAGACCCCAACCGAGTTGGGAATATATTAGGTATGTTGTTGTTGTTGTTGTTGTTGTTGTAGTATAATTTGAAAATCCAAACTAAAAATGAAAATCTAAATTAGATAATAATTTTGGGACAGAGAGAATATTTGTGATCAGACCTCCATAACGTGGTTCGGCCTTCGTGCTTAGACTATGGTTTTGGTTTGTCCTTTATTGTTTGATGTAATGTTTTTAAACGTGTTTTGAGTATCATTCGAAAAAAGATAGATCTTAATTTATAGTCAAATTTGAAATTTCACTTTTTTTGGATACAACTAATCTTTTGGTGTCGCGCGTTGCGCGACCAGTCTTTACTAATACTTGTGTAATATAAATCACAATTAAGAATATTTAGAAAAATATATTTCTCTGTTGGACTTAGTAATGTGTAATCGGGGAATATTAAATGTTATAAATATTTCGTGTATATTTATAACAAAAAGAAACATTAATGTTTATGTTTAATATGATGGGAATTAAACTAAAAAAATGTATTTGAGATATGCAGAGGAAAAAAAGAGGTATAAATTCAGTATCAAACTGACCTCATGTCGGTCACTTATTTGTTTGATCGGCGTAACTTCAGTGTTGTTGTCCTCAGGTACTTCATCTGCGAGTTGGTTATCAGCAATGGCGTCACAAAAGAACCGTCGTCCTCAATTAAATTGTTGACATAAAAATCTCGAAGCCCCCTGTACATTCTTTTTGATGCTCTCAGCTGCAATAGAAAATTTTTTTTTTCTAACAACTCATGTATTTCTTTAAGGTTTATCTGTTAAAAAAAACAAATAAGATATTAAGGACGTGTCATTTATCAATGCATATATAAAGGAAGGAAACATTGGATTTTTGAAACATGCGTGTTTAGGAACTTGAATAGCTAAAATGAAGAATGTGCATAGCTTTTCAGGGTTCTCGACGATTTCTATTGCAGTGAAATCTAATATCTTTTCTGCGATGCTACTTAAAATGCTAGCTTAGAGTGATCCGCTCTCGTCATGAATGTTAGCTCTTAGACGACACCTAGAATGACAACAGTAAGATTTAGGAATATTTTGAAATTATCTAATCGGCTAAAATGTCAATATAATATTTCTAAATTTCCATATGTTACAGAACTGTACTTTAAGAAATTGAAATTGACATACTTTGGGTTGGTTGCAGATTGCTTTAATGACCACTTGTTGCATTTGAAATCTTGTTGATAGATTGCTGATGCTCCAGTGCCGCATTCCTTGCAAGCCATGTAGTAGAATGGTTGTGTATGTCTCTGAACTCAACGTGGACTTTGACTAAGATATCCTAATTTTTTTTGGCAAAATTTAAAGCTTAATTAATTTGAATGAAGAAATATGAGAAGAACTAAAGCACGTTGCATAAGAGTATTAGGAACCAAGTGTGTTAACCTGTTGTTCATCATCGATATGTGTGACTGGAGTGATTTGTGAAAGGTTTTTGTGACTGATGCCAGGAATAGACGAGAATGATGGTTTATTCTCCAAGAAAAGATCGATTTCCTTCCTGTTTTATTGTGACCTGAAAAAGTTAAAAAGGTAATTAATATGCTGAAAAATTTTGTAAAAGTTGGTGTAGAAAAATAAAAATATATACCAGTTCCTCAATTTCCTTACTTTGTCAGAAGGAGGATTGATCAAAACCACCAATCTATGTGAAGTTGTTACCTCAATTCCTGATTAATATGAGAATTAAATTATCAGAAGTTGTTACCTCAATTCCTGATTAATATGAAAAATTTTGTAAAAGTTGGTGTCGAAAAATAAAAATATATACCAGTTCCTCAATTTCCTTGCTTTGTCAGAAGGAGGATTGATCAAAACCACCAATCTATGTGAAGTTATTACCTCAATTCCTGATTAATATGAGAATTAAATTATAAGAGAACAAGCGTGCAGAAAAAGTATGGTTGAGGAGTCTGTTTTAAAAAGGACTTATTAGTGTACCGTTGTATGCAGAGATAAGCATTCGGCGGCAAACGACGGTTGGGTAACTCTTTGCTCGAACTTGTTCAGTTAATAATATTCCAACATCCTGGTGGAATTCTTCCCAAAGTGACAATCTCACATATTGCAACCTGATTGAGAAACCAGTACCGAAATTAAGTGTTAGCTACTTTATCAAAATATCATGATTAAAATCCGTAAACTAAAACAAAGAGGTGTATTCCAAATTAAATATCTAGCAAACCTTTTGCTACTGTTTCAGAAAATGAGATGCAACATACAAGTGTAACAATAGTACATGAAAACAATCACAAAAGGACAACAATAATCAGATTATCAAAATGGAAAGCAGCTCATAAAATTACAGGAGTATAATCCTTGTAATTATGATGGGAACTTCACGGAAAATAAATTTGGCATTTCGAAAAAGCATTATATAAATAATTCAAAAACCATTATATTGAACTTACTTTTCATTTAGCTTATAGAATTTCTGGATCATTCTTTTTTTCCCTTTTCCTGTCGTAACAGTTTGCGTGTAGCTTCTCTCGACTATGACACCAATAACATCTGTAAGAAAAAGGTTGTTTAAAAGAGTATAGATCAATATAAGTTTTCTATTTGATAAGAATGTTTAAGTAAAACAAATACACTTCCCAACAAAACCATCTTGAACACCAACAAAATCATTAAGGGAATCAAAGGGCGTGTATTGCTCCTTGGTCACAAGAGTAGTAATAGGTTTGTTAACCTCTTCAACAACCATCCCAATACCAATGACCCATTGTTTGGAAAGACCACGAGACCTATACTCTCGTTTAATGTACCGGATAGGTGCGTTGGAGACTCGGTATTTTCTACACGTCTGAAATCGTGGTCCCATGATGCTGATGGCTTGTCCAAACAAAATACCTTCTACTTTAGCACCCTACAATAATAAATCAAATATTAATATTATGAATATGTGAGGTGAAAATTAGTATGACAACTAACAAATATAGATAATGTAATTCACCTTTTCATCGCTGAATACCATCTTTTGGGTTTTAGTATAGTGGCCGAATGGATTTTGCTTTTCCTCGACAGTGCCAATAGCAGTCCAAGGCTGATCAGAGTCGTTGAGCTTGTCAATTTCAACCTTCTTTGCAATCATCTTTGGTGCATAAGGAGCCATTCTAAAAAAATTTGCAGGAAGGAAAAAAAAACAGGTATGAATAATAAGCAAGAATTTTCGAGATGCCGTAATTGGAAATCCGATTGGGATGCCATTCTATTTATGAGGGTTGTTGTTGTATTTATAGAGCAGATGCCGTCGTGGTGTTTGTAAAATGATAAATTAGGGGACGAATAAGAATTGGAAATTTTGCTTATTTTTTGGGTGATTTTGTACCATAATTGAATTTGTAATTCAATTGGGATTGTAAAAGAAGGGGACGAATCTGAATTGGGAATTTTTCTTTTTTTGCTGATTTCTTAATCCAATTTGAAGAAGAAGAACGGAAATCGTTGCTTGGTGGCCCAAATTAACTACACATCCCAATGTCATGTTCAGAGTATTGGTAGGAACGCCGTCGGCGGTGCAATGGTTTTGGTGGATAAGCTGCCGCTGGAAATGGAGAAGCGGAGAGTCAGATTCTGCTGGAAATGTAGAGGACGATCTATTAGACTGAGAGGACCGGAGGAAGAAGCGGCGAAGGAAGAATTTTTTTGATGGAGGGTGGCGGAGGGAGAAGGTGCGAAGGTAGGTGCCGGAGGGAGTAGCGGCGAAGGGGGTTATTGAAAATGTTGAGTACGACGGAAGGCAGGACGGGGTCATTTTTTTGCATTTGGGGTTTTTTTTGGGTAATAATTCAGTACATTACGGATTGTAAATTATTTGGATGATTTAAATGTGTAATTTGATAATTTTAACCCTAATAAGTCGCTGACATCATATCAGCCCAATCCGACGGACAAGATCGATTTGACGGTGGTACTTGAATATTTCTTAGGTATTATTTCTTGGCTACTGTGCCTTTTATTTAAGTATAAGGATAAAGGAGGTGATTGCTTATTATTATCGACTCATTACGTACGTTGGTACTAGATACCTCAACATCATACTCTAACCATGGTTTGAAATTTCACTATTAACATAACAACTAATCATTTTGGAACATAGAGAGTGAAATTTATTTTTATCTTTTTTAAATGCATTGTACTACAAATAGTTCAACAAACAAATTCTATGAAATTTTAGAAAAATATGTGTTTGTTTGGATGTTCATTCATTTTTCATTTTCACTCATTTTACCTCTTAAACACAAAATCAAATGGAAAAGAAAACATCATCCAAACAACTTTTTGATTTACATTTTAAATTCCAACTTGAAACACTTTTTATTAGTATAATGACCATTTTAGAACTAAAAATATTTCAGTGACCAAATCTAATAATTCACAAGGTCTTGTTTGGCCAACTCCATATTTTACATTTTGTCTCATTTTACCTCTTAAAATACATCTCAAACACAAATCCGAATACTATCCAAATGACTTTTTAATTTACTTTTTTAAAAATATTTCAAAAATTATTTTTACACAATTTTCGTCCATCACCACAGGACCACTTTTTGTTAGTGTAATGACCATTTGTAGTTCAAAATATTTTTTTCAAAACCAACATCCAAACAACTTTTTGCTCGAAATTCTATCTAAACAAACATTTTCATTTCCCATTTAGTTTTCAACTTGAAACACTTTCCACTTTTAAGTGGCAAAATGAAATGTAAGCTGATGTTCAAACAAGCACTATATTTTTTCTGTTATCTGTCAAACTCTTGGGTCAAGAATCTAAAACATGGGTGTAAACGAACCGAACCGCTCGTAAGTTACTTGTGAGCTGGCTCGGTCAAAACTCGATTCGGGATCGAAGTTGACCGAGCTGAAGCCGGCTCAATAGTTAAACGAGCCGAGTTCAAGCTAACGCGGTGTCCGCTCGATAGCTTGTAGAGCCGCTCGAGCCATGCGTACTAATATATAATCTAAATAAAAAAAATACATAAATACTTACTCGACTGCATACTTCCTTTAATGCATCTCACTTCCTTTGCTTATATCTCCTCTTCTCCGACTCCAATGACCACCATACATCCAAACATTCATCCTTCAACAGTTCTTTCCCCCAATTTTTCATCAAAACCATACAAAGAAAACTATCATAACCAGATCCGCCGTAGGGAATGAAGCAACAATCTTTTAATAACAGATCTAGCGTGGATTGAGATGCTCCTCCTACTGTTATTTACACATATACTAGATCCGAGAGGATGATATTTGATATGGGCAGAGAGTCAATCATGGGCAAATCATGATTTTTCTCCTCTTTTTTTTTTGTTCCTTTAAGTTTTTTTTTTTTGTTCCTTTTAGTTTTTTTTTTTTTTTGGAAAGGTTCTTTTGGTGTTTGGAAAAGACAAAAGAGAGTAGTGTGTTGTTCACAGTGGCTTATGAGACCAGGAGGATTATGGTTATTCATCTTTGAGAATTCCTACATCTCTATGGAAAACTATGAAATTTTTAATGTTGAGTTCCCATCCCAGTGAAGTTCAGCTTGGAAGATTAGTGTAAAAAGGCAGATTGGGTTTGAGACGTTATTGTTGAATGAGCCCACGAGCCGAGCTCGAGCTCTATTTTTAAGAGGTCGAGCCGAGCTCGAGCTGAAATATTTTGTTGACTCGACTGAGCTCGAGCTCGAGCTTGTGAAAATTTGGTCGAGCCTAGCTCGATAAGAGCCATGTTCGAGCTCATCTCGACTCGTTTACGCCCCTAATGTAGAGTCTAGACAACAGGCCTAATATAAGTTCGGGTATATTCAAGAGCCCAAAAACACGAAAACAATAACATTGTAGAGGATAGCCCAAATTGCCGGGAACAACAATTTAAATTTTGGGAAAAAATTTTATAAAGGGCATGATTAAGATAAAAATTATTAAGGAGGGCATCAGTTTTATAAAGTCATTATTGTGAATATTTAAATAATTTTAATAATGTTTTGACTCAAATAAGACTATTTTATCCTCATCTTCCTAAAAGAATGGAAGAGAATTTGCTCTTCCTCATCAATCCATCAAAACTTCAATTCTGAATCTTACATATATAAGCCTCTGTGTTCTCATATTCATTCGATTTGATCATCCACTTTTCATAATCCTCCCCTAAAAGTCTTACGAACTCTCAATAAATTTCTAATTCTTCATAATTCGATATTGCGGTGGATTTCGGAACTCCATTTCAGTTTTGAATTTAGTGACAATTCTGATCACAATTCTGAATCTTAGTGACAATTTAGGTTTTGAATGAGGTTGTGGGTTCTTTAATCGCAAATGAATGATGCCCTATACATAATCATTCACCGTGGTTTCAGGTAGCAATTAGGGCTAGAACTTTGATATCTCTCTCTTTTCTTTTCTTTTTTTCTGTGTTTAAGTGGTGTAATATAATTATGTTTAAATCAATCGTCCAAGTTGACAACTATGATCCCTGGTACTTTGAAGTCCTTAGTTCTTCAGTACATAAACGTATACCTATATCCACGAAAGTAGTTATTGATGAAGAGGATTGTCCCTTCAATTTGTTTTGTCGCTGGGGAATGAACTTGGTCCCAAAAAAGTCTTGTTGTGCCCAATTTTAGCATTGGAGCAAATAAACTCTTTGAAATCATTGCTGAATTTTAAGAACACAAATTCTGAGATTGCAAGCAGATAAATGAAAGAAAAAAATAAAATAGTTATTCGAAAAATAGAAAATATAAAAATAATTTAATATTTATTACAATGAATAAATAGAGGCTTACGCCCTTCTTAATAATTTGTATCTTTCTCGCGCTTTTATAATAATTTTCCCCTGTTGATTTCCAGAACCGGTTCTTCATCTTCTCACATCCTCATCTTTTCACTTTTCACCCCACCGCCCACTCGCTTTCCCGTTCTCTCTTCCCTCTCTCTGCACATCACCGGCCTCACCTTCCACCATTCCTACTTATCTAAATCATTAAGTGAATTAAAATAGGAGAAAAAGGAAGCTGGGATTTGTCGTTTGAACTAAAGGAGGAAAAGATTAAGCCCTGGGTCGATTCAGGATTAAGGAGTAGCTCGTTGATTGCTTAGGTATTTTGCATGTTTATTGTTATAAATTCAATGTTTTTAGCAACTTCATTTGTTATAATTGATTGGGTTAATTCGGGTGGATGACTAGCTCACTGTTTTGTTTGTTTTGCCACAAAAATGATCTCTATTGTTCTAGTTTCTGATTTTGTCATTTGTTTCACTGATTTTGATGGAATAATTTCGCTTGAAGTTGAGTTTTATGTTCAGAAAATAGAGGGAACTGGAAGATGATTGCTGGGTTTTTTGTGTGAGAAGGGGAGGGGAAAGAGAGGAAGCCGAGGAGTACGGAGTTGTGCTATCCTTTATTGTTAATGCTACCGACTTGTATGCTAGACGAGTTGAAGCTGTTAATTGTTACTGTGGCCATTGAATGTACTCTAGGATTGTTAATTGCATTAGATAAATAAAGATGAATTGAAAGTTTAATTTTAGTGGGAGTTTAGCAGTAACTTAGGAAACATTGAACAAAAAAAATCTGAATTTACGTTAGTTTGGCAGCCAGTATTAAAAACCCTGCCATTCTCAGAAATATGGATCATAAAAGAACTCGTGTAAATGTTAGGACGCCACCCGTTGTACGTGGCGCCCCGCAGGGTCCGACTGCGTCGTCTTGGCCCTGTATGCCAAGAAAGCATTACAAGTAAATCTTTCACTTCTTGGCAAGGACCACTATACTCTCATAAGGGCGTGGGAGTAGTGGGAACTAGGAAAAATGTCCAATGTAGAAAACAATCTAGGAATAATCATAGAAATAATAAGACTTATAGGTTAGGTAGTTGGAACATAGGGTCCTTAACAAGTAAATCTCTAGAGCTAGTAGAATGTATGAGAATAAGGAAGGTAAATATAATGTGTTTACAAGAAACCAAATGGGTAGGTGAAAAAGCCAAAGTTCTAGATAACACGGGGTACAAACTTTGATTTAGTGGGAAAGATAGGAATAGGAATGGCGTAGGTATTATAGTGGATTCATTATTCATATACCAAGTAGTAGGGGTGGTTAGGAAGGGGGATAGATTAATAACCTTAA